AAATAAACAAATATGATGTCATCGTTAATGGTCGCGCCGTATGTCCGTCAACACACTCCTCACTGAATCTGCAGCCTGTCATTGTTTCTTGTTTACACGTTACTGGTACTGCGCCTGAGTACTATAACTCACTGTGCAGCTGCCGGTACTGTCTTCACAAAGCCTTCTAGGCTTCATGCTGATGATGTAGCTACAGTGCCACTTTGATCGTTCATACGGAGCTCTCGCGCTTTGTCATACTGCAGTCTCTTATAGTGAAGATGATAATCCTTCTCAGTTACACCTTGTATGGTATTCCTGAAACGTCTGAACTTAGCTCCCTACAACGGCTTCATGAAGTAGTCTGCAATGATTTCATTGGTAGAACAGTATTCGATGCTGACTTTGCCCTTCTTAACTCTGTCGGTTACAAAGAAATAGCGGATGTTGATATCCTGCTGATCAGTTAGCACCTCATCATTGACATCATGTTGATCATCGTTCACAGCAGGGGGTGTGTCAACATAGTTTGTTGCGGTGCCATCTCTATGGTCATCAGTGTCAACTTCACTGTTGTCTATGACTTCGTTGTCCACCTCAACTGCATCAGGGTCCACAGAACCAATTGTGTCATCATCATTTGTCTCAGGCTCAGTCTCGTAGGTTCCATCTGAGGTGTCATTGTTATCGGCATTCTCCATTGTGTCAATGTCCAGGATAGTGGTGTTTCTGTGTTTATCACCAAAGATAATTCTGCTATTGCACTTTTGTGCCTCCACAATGTTGTTGACTTGCTTTGCCATTGCATCAGTCAGTGGTGTTGAGGTGGCAGAGGTCCTATGGATCCGTTTGCCTGTGTTTATGTCATAGGCCCAGAACCCTCCAGTGAGTGTTCCTGTTGGTCTCAGGTACAGTGTGTCTACTGCTCTTGGCTACATGGTGTTATCAGTGTCATCTACATGGGCAAGTATTGGCTCCATGAACTGGAACTTACAGTCCTTGGCATCAAGTGGGATACCTGTCATAAGCTCCCTGGCTGATAGGGACTTGCAGACACCAGTTGTTCTGCAATTTAGCCAGAACACGACTGCATACACTAGGTCAATTACACACCATTTTGGTAACTTGGTGAAAGGAACATGGTTGAAATAGCAACAGACATTCTCCTTGACCATCCGAATGCTCCTTTCTATTGTTGGCTTGTGTTGCCCAGTGCCGATACTATGCAGTTGCACAAGTGGTTGCAATTGTAGGAGATCTTCCCTTAGGCACTCAAACTGGTTGTCTCCACACAGCTGAGTGACAGTGAATCCTCTTGTTTGATACATCCCACACAGTGATTTAATGCAATCAAGTAGTGTTGAACTGTTAGCATTGGTGATTGCACGGGCTGGGGTTGTTGACTACTTTTCAGTCACGTCATGATAGTACAGATTGCACGGGGACCTACCAAATTGCTGTGTTGTTCCGTCTGCATTGTGCACATGGATTGCATTATCCATTGCTGTATCCATAGTCACTTGCCAAGTGTATTTGATACAAGGGCAAGTGATAGCATGCTTGCAATTCTGTCTGGATAGAACCATACCTCACCATATCCTGGCAGATCAGCTATCTGATCTGTGTACGCCACCCCCGAGTTACAGTATATGTTCATGCTTTGACCATTTGGTGCTGTCCAAATATTGTTAACCAGCTTTGGATTTGTTGTTATCAGGTTGCATGATGACTCGCTGTCTAGTAGTATCCAGTTCTTATTGATTTGTCCATCTTTCCCGTTGGAAGATTGGGCTAACATAAGCTCAACGTTCCAACTGTACTTGAAGAATGYAACAATTCCATATCACAGGGCCTGTTTGTCCATGTATGTCAGATCTAGGGCACTCAGTGTCCTACCGTATCTTGATTCAAAGTTAGCAAATTCAGATATGTCTTGCAACTGAGCGATTTTGTGARGCCTTGGTGCCTGCACACGTTGATACTGCTCAACTAGTCGCATTGGTGGTCCGCACTCCTCTGCGACGGCTGGGTCACTTTCTAGTACGCACTCCTGTGTGTCTTGTGGCTTGCTATCCACCAGACACTCCTCAGTTTCAACATGGTTGGATGGGACGATGGAAACATTATTGGGCAAGCTGTATTTGGTCATTATGTTGAGCTCCCCATC